GAGATTTCTTATCAAAGGCTGCCTCCTTGTGTTTGCAAGGTTACATCTCTTGAAGTACTTGGTCACTCCCATTTAAGTTAACATAAGAAATGTATTTTATCGACCACTAATCATTTATTTTCCTTTTGCTGATGGATCTATGTGGCCTTTATAGTTATTTCCTTACACTTATTGAACCTCATGACAATTACTGAACATACATTTGCTACATATTAAATGACTATGATGAATGAAATATTACAGCTGAGAAAAAGTATTATACGCAGTGGAATATAGTTAAACACATTCTTTTAGATCACAACAACTGCAAACACTTCATTATCTACAAAGTGTGTTTATCTTTCTTCAAAATAATTGTCTGCTGCTTATTTGAGTCAGATAGGTCATGTTTCGCATGACCCAATAAACAAACTTGGTTTTGTGATACATTCCGTAAAATCTAAGAAGTAAGCCTTTGAAATCAAATATATTTATGATATATTTTGCTGTCAGACGCCAAATATATTTTTCTTGTTTCTGTCAATAACGTGCACTACTAATAGCATCTAGGACTAAAAGGAAGTAACGGTTTTCCGACAGCCTATGAAGCCACAGATCATGTGATGATGTGAGTCTCTAAAAAGGGAATTAAGTATGCAGGGTCTACAAGGACCAGTACATACTACAATATAAAGCAACTGTGATATCTTACGCAACACAGCAGCATCAATGTTCTCCTAAACATTACTCTGTGTATCATGCGGACAACTGTGTGGCAGTTGAAAAATTACAGAATGACAGGATGGTTGAGGTTGGAGATCATGTAGTTCAACTCCTTGTCCCTTCCTCCTGCCCAAGCAGCGTCACCTACAGCACACTGCCCAGCACTTTAGCCAGGCAGCCTTTTAATATCTCCAAAAATGGAGACTCTACAATCTCTCTGGGCAACATGCGCCAGTACTAAGGCACTCTCACAGTAAGAAAGTCTGCCCTTACATTCAATCAGAACTTAATGTGCTTCAGTGTGCATTTGTTGCCTTTCACCCTATTGTTGATCACCACCAAGAAGAGTCTGGCCCTATTCTCTTTACAGCCTTCCTGCAGATACTCATAGCAATGAGTATCATCAATAAGACACATATACAGCGATAATATCTGTCTGCCATCAATTTTCTCTTCTCCAGGCTTAGCAGGCCCAGGTCTCTCAGCATTTCCTGACAGGAGACATGGTCCATGCTCTTCATCATCTTTGTAACCGTTTGCTGCACTTGCTCCAGGAGTGCCATGTGTCTCTTGCATCAAGTTGAGAACTGCACACGGTACTCCAGATGTGGCCTCACCAAGGCTGAGTAGACAGGGAGGATCATCTCCCTCAACCTGCTGGCAATGCTCTTTCCAGTGCAATCCAGGATACCATTGGCGTTGCCACTGACAAGAGCACACTGCTGGCTCACAGTCACCTTGCCCACCAAAACTCCTAGGTCTTTCTCTAGGGAGCTGCATTCCAGCAGGACAGTGCCCAGCCCATACCAGGAGGGGGGTTATTCTACCTTCAGTGCAGGACCCTACACTTGCCTTTGTTGAACTTCAGTAGATTCCTCTCCGCCCATCTCCCCAGGTCCTTCTGGACAGCACAGCCCTCTGATGGATCAGCCACACCTTCCAGTTTTGTATCATCAGCAAACTTGCTGAGGGTGCACTCTTGAGAAATGCACTCTGCATCCAGGTCATCAAGGAATAAGTCGAACAGGAAGGTATCAAGTACTAAGCCTTGAAGGATATCACTAGCTATAGGAACTAAATGTCACCAAGTCTTTGTGCCACTGATCACAGTCCTATGAGTTTTGTCATTTAGACAGCTCTCAATTCACCTCACTGCCCACTCATCCTGCCTGTACTTCCTGGGCTTGCCTATGAGGATGCTATGGGAGACAGTAGCAAAAGTCTTCCTGAAGCCAAGATCACAAGAACCACTGCTCTGCTGTCATCTACTGGACAGTCATCCCATCAAAGAAGGCCATTAGATTTATTATGCATGATTTTCCCTTTGTGAATCCTTGCTGACTATGACTGATCGGCTTATTGTCTTCAAGATGTATGGAAATGATGTACAGAATGAGCTACTCCATCAAACAAATACAAACAACTGCTTGTGCAGATAATCTTACTTTGTAAACTAGAGATTAATGTTTATCAAATTATAGTTTCTTATCAGTATAACCCAGCAATAGTAAAAAAAGGACCAGTCCTGCCTTGCCCCTAAGTCATAGCATCTGGTTCCTTTTCTTTGTCTCTGCATGAACACAGCTGAGCTGGTCTGGCTGAAAAACAGATTTATTGTTGTGATCATATGGTTACATCAGTGTTTGCTTTGGAACAGAATATTGTTGAGAAAAAAGACTGAAGGACTACAATATCTTCTTTTAGGCACTGATTTATGCTAGCTTAATCCTTACAATGAACTACACCCAAAAAGTCAGACTAAAAAGTTCAAAAAGTATATGTAAATAAAATGTGTGCTAAAAACTTGAAATCTGAATGATGATTATACATCTCTGGCACCAGTAGATGCTTAAAAGAGACAAAATTAAAAAAAAAAGCAGTAAGTAGTTACTCCTGATAATTTTATTGCTAAGCTATAGTAGGTAACATTTTAGATTTTGAGGTTGCAAATAAACGTTGCCAGAATTCACTTATTTACAGTATTTGAGAAGCTGCTCTTATTGTCAGAAATATACAAACAGAATTAAACTAAAACACACATAAGTGAAGACGCTAGTCAATGTACGTCTGTACCGAACTTACTACGTAACGAAGACATGAATATAATGACCCAATCATATGGCTAAGGATGGCCCACTTCGGGCAATCTTCCAAAGTCACATAGACCTCAGGCACTCTTATTTTGGGATTGATACATCCACTATATGACCAAAACACAGATATTCACCACCATGTGTGAGCAGACTTGAGAGAGACCATGCAAGAACATTCCATCACATAACCTGTGTAGCCTCCTTCTCTTACTGCCATATGACACCATCGTTTTGGTCGCACAGCATGCACACTTCTAGGCATACATGTACACAGCAGGTAGCAGAGGTGAACTGCTGGTTCGAAGCCTCAATAGAGCGTCTTCCGGTGAAGCCTTTGATGAGAAATGGTGTTTTCCTTTAATTCTACTTAATATCTGTGTTGTTTAGAAAATATTATCTGATATCCTCAAGCCTTTTTATATACCTACACTTACAATGATACAATCTACTTTTAAAGGATGCTGTTCTTATTCACAGCATGCCAGACATTCAACTATATATTATACATGCTTTGGCAATAGTAATATTAATAATCAATACTTCGGGATTCCAAACAATTGCTCCAAAACAACATTCAAAATTAAGGCTTCATGCAACTTTTTTTTTTTTCTTTTTGCTGCACACAAAAACTTCAAACAATAAAATGTCTTCTTACGAAACGAAAATTTTTCATCTTAGTCGAACATATCACACCCTAAGGAGGAACTAGGTGTCATCAGCGGAAAACAGGTTTAGATAAAACAATAATGAAACAGTACTTTGAAATGATGTCAACAAGCACTGATTCTTATGCTTTGTGTATCTGAAAGAACAAAGAATTTATGCGTCTCATTTTGAAGAATGGTGTCACTGCTTTTTACTTTAAACAGTAATGTACCAAGAAGGATATCCCTAGAATGTAGTCTTCAGCTATATGACAGATATACGGAAGTACCCAGAAAGAAAAGTAAACACAGGATATCTATACTTTCAAACTACTTAAAGACAATGCAAAAGACCTAACAGAAAATACTAATAAAGGATTCAATAACATTAGTGGGTTTTTTTTCTGTACTCAAATTTTAACATGGAAGAAAAATAGGGATCAACTACCAAGGCATTTCTGTTTCAAATTAAAATCAAAATAAAATTCCAATTCATTACTTACATTAAATGCTAGGATTTTTTGAGTATACATATTTTATATGTATATATTTAATAGTAATCATACATAATAGTTTGTAGCTATTTACAGCCAGCTAAACTTACAAACTTTCCAAGCGTTATGATGAACAGTGTCAAGAATTGAAGACAAATTGTATTTCTTAAGCAACTCTGGTAACCCTATAGAAAGACCCCTCAGAGACAGCACCCTGACAGTTACTGATTTGGAAGCTACGGATTAATTTTGAAGATCTATAGTAAGGCAGGCTTTTTCATCAAAATGAAGACGGGAAAACAAACAAACACAAAAAGCACAACTAAGCTGCCAGCCAGAGGTGAAAAGGCTGACTTAACAGGAGATAAAGTGAACATCATTAAAAGGATTAAAGACACTCAGAGTAGAACTGGTTCCTGTGATAAGGGACAGACAGAAGGATGTTCCAGCAGGAGAAAAAGCCCAAGAAGTGTCTCGACTGTTGTTTTTTAGGCAATACTTATAAGTACTATCAACGTAGAGAAGGCTGCTTTCTCATATCTATGTGCACCACTCATACATTTAGGACGTCGGCATATTCGTCAGGAGCACTAATGGGCTTAATGCAGCAAAAAAACGCACTCGGGCTCGCTGCCGAGATGGCTCACGAGGAGGGCCTGGGAGCTGAACGGCCCGCCCAGAGGTGGCACCTTCTCCTTTCCTCGCTACACTAGACGGGCGCCCCGCGCAGCGCAGCGCCCCGCGCGGAAGCAGGGAGGCGCTGAGGTCGGCGCGGCACTGGCGGCCCC